TTATACTAGAGAAGTGTTAACAACATTTTGCCTTTTAGTTTTTACGTGTCTTTTATGAATTGATTACTGTAGTTAATAACTAATCTCACATATTCACATTTACGGGAGTAATTCAACTCACAATGGTAAAGCTTAAGAAATTATTTCAGTAAATGCCAAAGTTTAGAGAGTTACCCAACTGTTTGTGTTCTAGAGACTGGATGATGACGTGAAGGATATGAATCTGCAATAGCTGCCATTTCTGACAGATTTTACTCTCCCTAGTTTTCTCCATTGGGTTCCTTTCACTTAATTCTGGCTAGAATTCTTCCACTTAATTTGGCTAGAAGTTACTTTCATGTGTTTCCCATAGGAGAATTCTGAACAAGAGGCAGAGATTTAGCCAGTTCTGCCTTCATTTGGTTAGACTCGGTCTATTTAAAGGTTTAACACAAACACTTTTTTTTTTTCCTGCTAACCATAGTGTGACATTTCCAGGCTGTGGGCTCATCAGGAGTCAGAGCTCTTACTGTCTATTGGTTCAAGGGTCCAGTGTTCCAAATAGTTCCTTTGGGCTGTTTGGGATGGAGTCCTTATAAAATTACCAGGACTTAAACTTGCAAAGAAGATATACACATGTCTAAGTGTATGGGTGTCTCTCTTTCCATTTGATTTGATGCAGTAATAGTTTGGACACAAAATTCAGCATGTCCCATGTTCTTGTCACACTCTGAGATATGCTGTATTGGATATATAATGTATACTTGCAAAAAAAAAAAAAAAAAACCAGTATAAATTATTTTTGTGACATATTCTGTTCATGTTTCTAATGTTTACTTTCACAATTGCATGAATCCATATTTAAAAGATAGGTTTGGAAACACTCCTTTGAGAATAAATATTCTTAGTTATTATTTTTTTTTTTTTTGTGGTTAAACAAACAGTTCCAATGAAGTGAAAATGGTGCAAGGCCAACAGGGAAGCTCATCATTATTCCTTTGAGGAATATATCTCCTTTAAAAGTCAGCGTCTCTCTTCTTATTTGCTATAAAACAGTTCTGCTGTTTTAATTTACAACCTTAAATTAAAACACCATGTACTTGTGCTGCCAAATGTAAAGCCTAGCTCATTTTCTGCTTTGCTAAAGACAAACAATTACCTAACACTAATTTGGACCACAGACTTATTATTGCTACTTACATAAATGAAATTGAAAGGCTACGTTTCTTCCAGAAACGGGACTGATATCATAGAGACAATATTAACAGTGCTATTTACTGTCAGTGCTGTGCATTTATATTACTAATTTACAGAAAGACTTAAAAAACAGGCCTTATTTCCTCATGTCAAACCAAAACAATTCCTAGACAAGCCTCCAAGAGCTTAATAACCATACAAAGTCTGAATCAAGCACGTGGCTCATTAATATTCAATACATGGACAGTGCAGCATTTGTTTCCAAATCCATTTTGATGTAATGGTGTCTTTTGAATAGCAAACTGCAGCAAACGGATATTTTCTGCTTTTTAACTTGTTCCTATTTCAGTTTTATAGTAATTAGACTTTAAACTCAACTAACGCAACTCAGATTGCCTTCTTTATGTACCTTGTAAAAATAAATGTTTTCTTTGATATTTATGAACAAACTGTAGTACGAGTTGTATGACATAATTGGTTTAAAAAATGTTTTATATCTGACCTGCCATAAAATATCCCATGTGAGGTGTTTCAAAATTAATGGCCATCCACTTTGATTTCTGTCTAAGCATAAATCTGGCCAAACTTCCCACAATGGATGGTACAAATGCTTGGGGTTTTTTTTTCTCATATCAATAAATATGTCGAGAAAAACTTTACCAAAAAAAAACTCTCAGAAAGAGTTTTTATTTCCCCCGAATTTCAGCACTGATAACTACTATTAAAAAGATTAACTACAATGCAGCAATATGAATATATTTTCCTATCAAGATTTTTACTGTAGTGGCATTGATATATTATCAACAGAAGATTATTTTTACATTTTATTTTTACTTCTTGAAACTGTGAATGTGTTATATGAAAGCTTAGAGCAGAAATATAGCCTGGTACAACATTTGTTTTTCATTTGAAAATTACTCACACGACCTACCATAAACGTGAGGAAAAGAATAGAGAAGGGTGACTGTACAGGTGAATGGTGGAAAAAACACCACTCTGAATATTACTGGCTTCTTTTCAGTGTTCCAGTTAAGTTTTAATTAAATTGCCCAACAATTATGTTGAAAAACTCAGTTCTTCTGTCATGACAGAAAACATAAGAGGTGGGAATGTAGTGAAATAAAGGGAACTAATTACTGAGGGAAAGGCTGTAGATATGACTCAACTAGCAATGAGTTCAAAAAGCCTTACAGTGTTTTGTACAGTTTTAATCAGTCCAAGATGAATGTTTCTGTTTCAGAAAGTGTTTCATTAAAACAGCTCCATTTTTACACAAAAGAATGGCATCTTTGTTTATTTATCTTTTATTGCTGTCTAAAGACTCAGTCTAGAGACCTTCATGCTCAGCTGAAAACCCAATTCACAGAGATTTAGAGTTTTCCCCTGTTCCCACCACCACCCCAGCTGGTTTGCACTGGAGAGGAGGGAGAGAGCTCTAAGTTACAACCAGGAGAGTAAGACAGAAAGAAGCCAACACAAGAGGTAGTACAAAAAAAAATTGCTATAAACTGTAAATATCAAATTCTGTAAAAGTAAACACAAACGAGGCCAGCTATAAATAAACAGTGTTCAATTCCCAAGAAGATTTAAATAGCAGGATATGACTCTGATTCATCAACTAGAAGATACCAAGATCCAAATAATTTCACAACCCATTCTGAAAGTTTGAATAAAATATTATCTGGTACCATGTTGCCTGATTAATTCTTAAGCCATAAAGTTCCCAATAATTTCTTCAGAGGAAAAAAACCAAACAAATGAGCTTTGTTGCAATCAGTTGCTCCAGCACCTCTACACTAAGTATGGTAATGGAATACCAAGATGCATTCATTTTCTCTAGATTAACATTAATTCTGTAGAAATACGTTATAAATTATTCAGATGGAAAGAAAAGTAACATACAAAAGTAACATACAAAAGACAAATAACTTATGAGTTCAGACATTAATGAGCAATGTAGAGGAACGAAGAGGGAAAATAAAACCCCAATTATTTGTTATAGTCAAGCAAAACATGCCTCATAAGCAGATACATACTTTTTCTTGTTTGTGCTCTATTACTGAATTTGAATTTATTCAATTGTTCAAGGCTGTTTTGCAATTAAACTGGTAGACCTACAGGTTTAGACTATCTAAAAATTAAAAGCTAACACATTAATTCTTGTCCCTGAACTAAAAGATGTTTCTTTTTTTCTATGAACTATTTTTTCCAATTCAGCGATGTGTTAAAAGGCTTGTTTTGGCAATAAAATAATAAAATCAGAGGATATCTGGAGGTGGAAGGGATCCCTAAAGACCCTCAAGTCTAACTCCCTGCTCGTTGTAGGACTACCTAAAAATAAACCATATCACTAAGAGTATTGTCCAGATGCTCCTTGAACTCTGACAGGCTTAGTGCTTTGACCACTTTCCCAGGGAGCCTAAATGATAACTGCTAAAATAATGAAGAAAGAATAATAAATTGTCTTCAGGAAATTATAAACCAACTTTAATCTTGGACATTCTCATGAAAATAGAGAGATATAAAACTTATTACCATTTAAAAAAGCATCTTGGAAAATATGAGATGTGGTTCTGGTTCTCTACCTGTTATGAATAAATCCCTAAGGTATGAAACACTTCCTTTGCAAAAAAACCCAAACATTAATTTTATAAAGTTGCATGTTTTCCTGTCAGATTCATCAACAAAAACCCCTTCCATTCTGAAGAGATGTGACTGTCTGGGACAATATTTAGATCTGCTGCTCCAGATCAGTAACATTTTCCTTTAGCTCTTCAAAACTTCTGTGTAGCAAATTTGCTAAATACATAACTGTGGTGAAAGCTCTTTTCAGTTGAAACATCTGTGAATTACTAGTCCAAAGAAGCCAGAGAGAAGTGGGAAAGAGCCATCCTGAAATACATAAAAAAATAGGGCAGAACAACTCCATACTGCGTTTGTTACCAGAAGATGAGACAGATGTGGGAGAGCGATGACTTCAGAAGAAAACTTAGTCAGCTGCTGACACCGAGGCTTATCTTAGGTGCCACCTATGAAAATGGAGTGCTAGCCAGAGTTTCAAGACAGACACAGGGCAATTCCAGTGTGGGGACTCTACACAGACAGCAAACTAAATATATATTCCTCATGACTTTGCAGTGGTACTTGAATCACAGCTGTGTGACACATGCTGAATGGACTGTATTCCAAAAATAATTGATGTTAGTCTATACAATCAGCAAACAGCCCCCCTCCAGTTTCTCTCAGCGCTGAAAGGATTTCCTCTAGAAAAAGGTACTTGGGAAAATTCCTGTTTAGAAACCATAAGAAAAGTAAGGAAAAAATATCTGCAGCATAAAACAGGTCATGAGTAAAGGTAGTGTATGTTGTTTTTATGAACACATTTGTGTCTCTAAAGGACTGGGAACCCATGTCAGCTCAGGTACATTAAATAACCATCCTGATTTTAGATGAGTTTGAAGTTCTACAGACAGGGACACAGCTTTGTGCATCATCTCCGGAGATAATAAACACTTTGAACATACCATAAAGGACTAGGTTGAGAATAAACCATAAAATTAACTCTTGCACTTTAATAGGTGTTCAGTGTCTTTATAAGCATTTAATCTCTTTCAGATCTGAAGTTGGTTAGCTGAAAAATGACTACCTGCACATCTGAAAGTCCTCCAGTTAACCAACACAATGTTTTCAAGCAGTCACCCAGTCTCATCCCACTGCAAGCTCCCAAAATGGTTTTCAATAGGCTGTAAACTGGGGAAATGAATCATGTGTTTACAGTTCCTGTTTTACAGAGACAGAAATCTAGTATTGGGATTTGCACATACCATTTCCTTGTGATTTGGATAGAACGTTTGCTCAATTAAAGGAAACTTCTCTGGACCCAAAGTTTTGTAGACAGACACCAGCTGGGCAAACTGTAAAATAAAGCAAAACAAAAGAAAAAGTTTAGGAGAGGAACCTAAACATTCTGCTATTGTCATTTTGCTTCTTGCCTTCTGTGCTTCATGAACTCAGTAAATACACATACACATTATTTACCTCCTCTCTCCTCCCCTCTCACATCCCCCCCACCTATTTCAACCATCCAATATATGATTTCACACACAGACCAACACAGAACCATCCCTCTGAGAGTTAAGCCTTCACGTGTACAGAAAATTAAATGCACTGTAATACTGATTTTCAGATATTTTAGGGATTCAGAGTTTGTTTCTTGATTTTGTGATAATAAAATTATAATTTTCCATTTTCTACCACCTTTAATCTAAAGATCAGATATATTTCACATTAATTCAGCCTCTGGCACCTCACTGACACTGAAAAGCAATTTTTGCAAACCTGCCAAACAGAGAAAAGTAATAACTATGTCATCTGTAACAAGCCAGGCGAAGAATAAACAAGAGAATTTTAATTTCCTAGGCTCTAGCCATGTATCATAAGCACATGGGGGCAGTGGAAGAACAGCCAATCATCAAAGACATTGATAATTTAAACAGCTACATGTTACTGTCATTTCTATTCATGTTTTCTTTCTGTTCCCCTTCTCTGACATATCCAGTCCACCTATACACCAGAGCGTAGTAACACGGAAAGCAGAACAACATTATAACACAGAAAGACAAAAAAATCATTAATAAATAGAAGTATATTCCGGGTCTGTTCTCTTCAGCGAACAGATCAACTCTTCCGTTGTAACAGTTCAAAAACTAAATTGCTCTTGAAATCATGGCTTAGTAAAGGATGTTTCTAGGGAGCAGGATGACTTTGGCAGTCAGAAGACCACTATTGTTTCCAGACTCCAAAGCTCTGGCTTGTACATGCCTGTGATGTGTTTAATTGTCATGATGCCAACATGAGACATAAACAAGTTAGCACAACACTTTGAATAGTGGGATTTGCTGGTTATAAACAGGGAAAAAAGCAACGAACAATAGAACTCTGTCCATAACACAGTTTGATCAAACACCTACTCTGTTAATGTAATTTAGGGTGCAGGGATAGTAAAAACTGTTTGAAGTGGGGAAAAAAGAAATGATGAAAGCTGTGCATCACATTTCCAGCTGGCATGGAGAATTGGTTTAATTTAGTGGTGTTTACTTAGCTTTGGTAAAACACATATTGAAATTTTGAAGTCCAGTGGAAAACACCTTAATGTAGAGTAGTTTCCACAAAAAGCTTAAGAAATGCTAGCTGGATAGTGTGCTGTACAAATCAGGCCTCAAGGAAAGGGAATATTATCACAGCTACCAAAATAAGGTGGTTTGTGAACAGGATTCCTGACTGCTGTTTATTTCTGTTCTCATCCAAGATGCAAATTGAAAATTTCATCAGTAAATCCTCCCTGTTAAATACATTATTTTTGCCAAACAATTGTTATGTTGAAATAAAACTATTTACCTAGCCTTAAGTAAAAACCTTTTAAGAAATAATCGAGTGATTGTATTTCCTGTGATTCTTTCCTTATTTTCTTTCCCATTTTCACTGAAAGCAAGCAAAAAAAAAAACAGTGAGAAGCTGACATTATTTGCCGGGGTTGTGGCATTCGCTCAAGAGGTAAAAAATCTATCATTCAGATTAATATTAACAAAAGTTTACTTACTTAAAATAAATAGTATCAAGCTCAGATAATAGAAATCTAGCACTCTAAGGTACCCTCTAATCTAGTAATTAAGTCATGAAATAGCATGTAGGAACAGTAGGTTTAAATTTCCTGAGGTAGTGGAGAGAAATAACTCAGATTTCTCAGAGAATTATTTAACCTTTACCCCTACTAGGATGCTGCTTCACCCTGGTGCCTACAATTTTAGGAATCTCTCATCAAACTTTTCTCCGCCCAAAAAGCTACTTGACAAATTCATCCCAAATTCACATAAAATTTTGTCATTCTAATTGTATATCCTTAAACTGCTATAAATATTTCTTATTTTCCCTGATTCCTACTGGGCAATTAACAGAAAAGGATTTCTTTTATGTTTCAATGAACTTCTATCAATTTTTAAGTGTGATCTGAACTACACCTTTTTAAATTTTCCTTTTGAGGAGCAGAAACAAACAAGCACCAGTTATACAGAGTGAAACAAAAGACCACTTCTGAAAATCCTGTTGTAGCTGGACCGTTTGGAAGCTACACAGCGTTTACAAATAAGCTGAATATAGAATAGCATGTTGCCTGGTTTTCTACCCAAATCAGGCCTGCTGGAAACTACACTAACAGGTAAGATTACATATTTTTCAGACTTTATATAAATAAATAAATAAATAAATAAACCTTAATAAAGTTTTTATTCATTTGAGTTTTGAAAATGATTTGTTTTACTGGGCTAAGGAACATGAAGTTAAATTACACCTTTAAATCACAGTAAAGTTTATGAAATTCTTCCCTGTGCAAGAAAATAATCTTTTTAAAATACTGAATTTTTATCTAATCTGTTTTCAATGCTGAATGTTTTTAGATATGAGATGTTTATGAAATAGAGGATAAAGGTAGATCCACTCTATATTTAAATAAAGTATTTTATATGCACTCTTAAATCCCTGGCAGATTTTTAAAATTATCTAAAAAAAAAGAAACTCATAGAGCTTACTATTTTGACATGAGTCTTTTCGATATTTTAAGAACAAGTAAGAAACCAGAAAAAAAAAAAAAGTTGATTAAGCTCTTCTTTTTAGCTAGTTGAATTTACTTTTCAATTTCCAATTTTGCATCTTGTTTTCAGCTTGAAGAGAGAGATTCCCAGGTGCATTTATTTATGTTTTTTAGATTATTTTTTAAAAGGACAATAGTGGAATTTTACAACATTCTCTGTAAAGTCAGTTCTCTTTTCTGCCAAGGATTAGATGCTTTCACATCTAAGCCTATAGAATGTTCCTCCATAAAAGAACAGGGGAGCGCCAGCTGCACTTTTTCTCCTCTCCAAAGTATGATACAGATAAGAAGAAATACTTAGTCAAAAAAGACACTTACTCCCTTTGATTTCACATAAAAGCTTTATGGGGTTTCATTAAACTAAGAATGGAACACTATAAATTTGACTGCATAGACCGTACTCTAATCAAGCAGTGCACAATTACAAAAAATGACTTTTCCAACTATAAAGATTTGAATAATGACTTTGCTTATCACTTTAGATGAGTTAAAATGTGCTTAATTACACGCATGTCATCACTGAAACACTCAGATTTTTTCCCCTGAACAAACTGCACAAACTTTTTCCTCAAAGATAATTAGATATGATATTTAAAATTAATTACCCCAGATGGTGCTTTGTGTTACCTTTAATTCCAGCAAGATTCTAATCTCTCTCACCAGACTGAAGGATATATATCATTGTCCATTCCAGTGGGGAATTTCCTGGTATGTTGAATAAGATTTTCATGCTACAAACTTCTTCACATTTGCCTGTAGAGTTGCTCTCTATTAGGGAAGTACCACTGACCCATGTATTATAAAACTTTTTCTGTCTGAGATTTTCCTTCATTGTGAGTGTTCATTAGCTGTCCTCTCCCAACCAGCCATCTAATGTAACAACTAAAATGATCAGAAAATTCTCTGGATGGGCTGTTTCACCAAACCAGGTGAGCTGGCGTTCTCTAAAACTAGAGAAACAGGAAAACTCTGATGGATTAATTCTTTATGAATCCTTGTGTCATGAAAAAAGTGGTGCTTTTAGCTGAGATTTTCCGTCTCAATATACAAGGGGAAGCTCCCTTCTCCCTACAATGACCTGCAGAGGTCTCTTGCAGAGTCTGTAGGTTGTGAAGCTGAAAGATGAGCTGCTTTACATTATAGGCTGCTTTATGTTACATTTCTATTATAGAAAACTAATGAAGATGACAACACATCGACGTTTTTATCTCCTGCTCAGTGAAAAATGTCCTGAAGTCTGTTTTTAGGCTGAAATGTCTATTTTTAGGCTGAGACTTGGAAATGTGGCTGCTCATGCCAGAAAAGTACAATTGCATTCTAAGAGTAAGTCTGTGCTTTTGAACATATCTAAGTACCATTGGCACAAACTTATCAGGAGTCCTTGGTGGCCAACAGCTTGAGAGGCGAACATTGTAGACCCTTCAGAAGGAGAAGAAATTAAGCAGTTGCATGGAAGACACAGTTGACACATACTTTGGGGGGCTCAATTTACTTTAACAAAGATGTTTCGCTACACTTGTATTTTAAACAGTTTCTGTATTTCACTTTGTGGCTTTTATTATTATTTTTTTAAAATTATTATTATCGAGCAAGTATCTGTGTTACTCTTCTTATGCTCTTCATAATACTTGTTCTTTGTTGCAGCTGGCCTCCATTTCTTATATTATGCTTTAGTAAACATTAAATACTTTTCCAGAAGGCTGAGTACATACACATTTGATGTGCTATTTGATACCTAATACAAGAATACAGGGGAACAGACTGTTGACCGTAGCTTACGTACTTCTTTCTGTCAACCCCTGCTGACAGACAACTTAATAAAAGTATTCAAATTTTCAAAGTCAGTTTAAAGTTTGACATGGCAACTTGGCACCTCAGGAATGAGACATTGCCTACGAATCAGTTTGGGGGCACGAACAGAATCCTGAAAAGATGGGAACTGACAAAAGAACTTGATGTTCCTCCAGCAGTTTTTCCATTATTACAATGCAAAACCACAGACATCGCAGTTGGACAACGGATGGAAAGATAACTTATATGGACCCTGCATCAAAATTCAAGTGGTAGTTTTATAACATAGACAAGTTGTTTCCTAACCCTTTTGCAGCCCAGCCTCACACAAGAACACAATGATGGTCTCTGCTTCACCAAGTTGAGCTGCTCTCCCCCACAGCCTGTTCAAGTCCTGCTGCTCAATCCATTGGTCTGGGACTAGGAGCATCTCATCCTTCCACCTTTGACTGCAACTTATATTTCCCCACCTTCTTT